TTTTGCCATAAACCACTCTCATGACCTATAGCCAGAGACAAAAATATCCATCAAAAGCACCAGCCATATTCATCATCTTTTCAAAAGATTTATCTGGCCAATATCCAAACTTAAGTCCATCTTTTCCATTAATAGAGGGAGTCCATCAATTTTCATTTCACATATATTCATCATATGTTCTGCTTGACCAATATATCTTAGGTATTAGAGGTATCATATAATCAGCGTCACAATGAATACCTCATCACTCCTAAAAGAAAACCTGAGGAAGAAATGCATTTCACAGAGTAAACAATGCAAAACCAACAAAATACCTGTTGATCCAAACACCACCCAAACGCTGGGCCATTTAAACCAGGCACACCATTTTGCATCACATCTATGTCTCTAATTTTATACTATGGATGCCTATGTGAAAAGCAACAATCTTGAAATCATAAAAGACAAGGATTCCTAGAAGGATATTCCTTCCTACATAAACGTCTGTTCCTTCTATGCTATCATTGTGTCAGGTAATTTTAAAGACATTGCCACATAGTTTTCTAGAAATTTCGCACTATTAATAGAATATCTTGATTTCAAAAGCTTAGGTGGTGGAAGGAGAAAAATGACCACACATGCAGGGCAGAGCAAAAATCCACACACCACTGCTGCCCTTGAAGTAGCTTTTAATTCTTGTCTAAATCTTAGTCTCTGGCTGAGAACCTCAAGGGTGTGTATGGGGTGGGGCAGCCAGGGCTAATGGGAATAGCTGGCAGCTGATGGCCGCTATTACCATCACTATCCTAGAACTGGACACAAAGCAAGAAAAAGGTACTTACTTGCTACTATGTGAGGGTTCTCCACAGGCACCTGAGGGAACCCTGAGAAACAGGGTTCCCTGGAGCCCTTTCCTCCACCTGGGCTTTTTCTTCCCAGATCTCTCTGGTTTCCTGAGCTCTAGTTGCTTAGGAGGTGTTGCTAGGCAGGCATCTGCCCTCACCAGCAGATCCCACCCAGCCCCTACCGCTGGGCAGTAAAGGCACCCCACTGGAGAGCAGGCCAGAAACCCAGGCTCTGGAGCAGCTGCCCAGCCACAGACCCAGAGACCCCTCCAGCCAGAGGCACAGTGGAGCCGCGCCTGCCTGCCGCCTGGAAGCTGTTTTGTGTCCTTCCCACTGTTCCCTCCCCTCTCCCAGCCACACCACCCTCTCCCCCACCCTCATCTCCAGGCCAGTGCGCGACTTCAGCATCCAGACCGGGCGTGGGCGGAGTGATGTTGACAGAGACCGGCAGCAGAGGCTGCAGTAGCGGGAAAGCAGCAGCTGTGGTGTCTCCTCCACCAGCTGTCAGGGGAGGGAGGGGGCCACAGGCGCCCGATCAGTGAGGAGGGGGCACCTGGAGAGGACTGCAAGTGTACGGAGGACTGGAGGGGAGAGGAGAGCAAGGGGAAGCACTTAAGAGGGTGGGGAGAGGAGAGGGTGTCAACCTGAGGAAGAGGAGAGGAAAAGAGCAACAGTAAATTTAGGTTCTTTACCTTCAGCTGTTTTCTCTCTCCCATCACCTAACTACCTTAGCTTGTCAGGGGCAGTTGTCAGCCTGCAGCATGCAAATTGGGCATGGTGCAGAGGGGGGTGGTGGTGGTGGGGGTGGGGTGTGTGTGTGTATGTGTATGTGTGGTCAGCCTGCAGCATGCAAAATTGGGCATGGTGCAGGGTGTGTGTGTGTGTGTGTGTGTGTGTATGCACAACTGTTTAGGAAAGAATGGGTTGGAAATACTATAACCTTCTCACTCTAGATTTCTTCCCCACTCTACTGATTTGAAATCCAGTGGGCCTAAGAAAAATTATACATTTTGGAAATTTGGGGAAACTGGTGCACAACAGCTTAGTTTGTAGGTGAAGGAAAGAGGTGTTGGATCTTCTTTTCCAAAGGGAGTTTGGAATTTTTCGTCATAACACAGAGCATTAATTTTATAACCTCACCTTTAAAAAAAAAGATGAAGTGTAAAAGAATATCTGCAATACAGCAGGATAACAAAAATGAGAAAAAGGGAAAAAAATCAAGTATATTTATAAGAGATTCAAATTTTATGTTCCAGAGTATGTAACTGAAGAGTAAAGTGGAACTAAATACTGGTTCTATGCAAACTAAGTCAGGGACTTGGTTCATCCACACTTCACAGTATGTATTTTGTTTGTTAAGTTACACATTTGTTAGAGCACGGGCAATATGAAGAATGTAAGAATTGTTGATTTGCTTTCATTTTGTCTAATCTTTGGAACTTACAGACCTTAATGCTTGTATAATATATAGGTGTGGAAATTTTTCCTGGTGAGAGGAAGAGATCTAGAATCGATTTTTTCTTATTCTATTATTCTTTTTTTTTAAGATTTATTTATTTATTTATATAAGCACTGGGTACAGTCAGAAGCGTGGGAGGGTGAGAGAATTCACCAGAGCCAAGCAGGGAGCAGAGCAGGCAGAAGGGCCAAAGCACACTGCTGAGGGGAGCAGCGGGCTGCGGCAGGAGAGGTCTGCATGCCATGTGGGACCCTCCTCAGGTGGCCAGGGAGCAGCCAGGGATCGAACTGGCACTGCAGAGGCTGCAGGCAGCTTCGCAACCCAGCACTCAACCACTGTGCCACCAGGGAGGCCCCTATTATCCTTTTTAACAACATCCAAGAAGATGTTTAGGTAAAAAGGATAAAACTATATTTTCAGCATATGGAAACAACCCTGCTTATTCTACAATCCAGTCCATGGGATATTTATTTCCTGCAGAATATAAGACCTGAAGGAAATAAAACCCTAATTTACTGATAAGTAAGTAAGCAAGGCAGAAGTGAGGGCAAAATGGTCTAGGAAATACTTTTATTAGTCTAAGTTCATTATTAGTAAACTTTATTAATATCTAGCCATGTTTTGAAAATAACAAATTCAAGTCCACTAAATCCACCTTCCGAATTACTAAATCTATTGAATTAATTTTTTTGAACCTTTAGATTCAAGTATAAATAGGCATGACGATAGTATGTCATCCAACTGCCAAAATTTGAAATTGCTTTCAGAGGTAATCGACCTTTAGCAGTGATGCAAAACTCTTTTGAAAGTAAGTATTATGTAAGATATTTCAGGTGCCTCTGACAATAGTAGGATATTTGACTTCATGTTGTCTATTTAGGATCACATTTTATATAAATACCAAATCACCTTGTGATGTTCTCTATTAGAGAGAGGAAGGCATTATTATTTCCTCTCCTTGTCCCTAGAAATAGATAATTTAAGGTGATTTCATAGGCAAATAGACAAATATCTATTGTAAATCTGGATACCTTACTTTCCAAACAAATATATTTTATTCTGACATTTTCAAGTCAGTGATGGACCCCATTTTTTCTGTAATTATTTTAACCATCTAATGTTCAATTTAAACTGCAGGTTACTTTATAAAATGATTGTAGGATATATACCATTGTTTTAATATTGAAGAGCCTTCTTCATTTCTTTTTTTCCTCCTCTCCTCCATGCTCCCCACTAAACAATCCATTCTCCCATTGTAAAAACCCCAAACCTAATGAAAGAGAGTCTCTGGTAAATCTTCACAGAGATAAAATTGCATATCACACAGTCTGTCTCTTTAATGTACCCCTCTCTCTTCTTTTCCCCGGACACCAGGTAAAATGGTGTATTATGGATAAAAATATTTTATACTACCCTGTGGCATTCAATGGTCCTTATTTTCTGACTTCCTGGAAGTTAGATGTGGCTAGCGGTCTGTGATTAATGTGAAAACTACCCGTTCCTGCTGAGGCTGATTCAAAACTTCCCATGTCATTTTCTTTCTTTTTCCTTTTTTCAAAAAATTGATACATGATTGACACACAATATTGTGTTAGTTCCAGGTACACAAAATAGTGATTCTGGTTATGAGTCAGTCTATTTCTATGTCGGCGTTCCTTAGAACTATTCCAAGAAAACCTTGCCACAGTCTTCAATTCTGTCTCAATTTCAGAACTCTAAGAATTCGAAGGTGATAATTGAATCAAACTGTAAAAAGTAGTTTAACAGTCACAGAGAAACAAAATTAGTGGCTTGCTTCTTAGGGATTCCCAGAAACAAAAGAAGAGATAATAGATGGTAATAGTTAGGTTTCCAGAAAAAAAGTGGGCAAAACCCCTTTTAGAGCATCAATTATCAGTTAATAAATTTCTAAACCAGCTCTAATTTCTCAGCTCCCCTGGGACATATACATGTCCTAATTTGATTCTTTCTAAAAATATTCCAAATATAGGCACAGTAAGTAAAGAATATCACCAAGCCAAATGAAGTACCTGCAGAGAAAAACATGTCAAATATCTTATTTGAAAAACATACACTCATCTAGTATGAGTTGGACAGTTCTGTGCCTGTATTTATTTTATAATTTTCCTTGGTCCCAAAAATCAAACTATAAAAATTACAGACTGAAGTCTGTGTTCAAAATCTTTCTGAGCACATAATATATTCTATTTTCCATTTTTCATATCCAACAATCATCTATCAAATAATTCTTAGCCAGGCTTGGCAGAAGTTCAGAATATATTAGTTGCCTACAAAGCGTTATTCTGGTGAAAAAAAAATATATATAACAGATATTATTAATTACAAATTGTAGTTTGTTATTATTTAGCTGGAAGTCCCATTATAATTTTTTGTGCATATATATGAAACAATTTGATGTAAGCATGGCATTGCATACAAAAGTCAGATTTGATTGCTGTAATCAAAAAAAACCTGAAATAACTGTGATTAAGCTTGGTAGAAGATTATTTCTGTCAACTCTAATAATCCAGGTATAAAAAGCCCAATGTTACAAAATATCATGGAAGCAGGCCCCTTCAATCTTATTGAATTACAATCTATAGTGTACTATAGCTTCATTTGTGTGATTCAGTTGCATTCCAGGTAATGGAATAGAGGAAATGGGATGCCTACTCATTCCATTAAAGGTTATATTCCAAAAGTTTCATTTTACTTACTCTTAACTTCAAGTCATGCTGCCCAGAACTTAACCCTACAGATGTAACTGGTTGCAAGGAAGGCCAGGAAATATCATTTATTCTGGTGCCTCTTCAGTGAGCCCAAAGTAGGGATTTCTACAAATGTATAGAAAGGTAAAATAAATATTTGGGGATGACCAGCAACTTCTGACACACAGCATCTGCAATCAACTTTCTATTTAGACTGGATACTACCCCCCAAAAAAGCAAATTAGAAAACATGTTGTAGCCTCAAAAGATGAAAGCAGAACCAAATTTATCAGCAAAAATCCTCTTTCCCCAAATTAGGATTAGAAGACAAGAAATTCAGATTGAAATACAACCAACTGAAGAGTTACACTAATAAATATTTTGTTTTCTTAAACCCATTTTTACACATATTATTTCATTCATTTCACCAATTTATTTTTGATTTGGTATTAAGATGCCAGCTTAAAAATCTTTCTCATAAATTTTCTCTCTCCTATTTCAAAACAGGGAGTATAAAAACTAGAAATTGCTAACTATATTTCAGTGAAACTATTAATCATTTTTAACAGCAAGAAACAATATATGAGGTGGAATAGAAATGGAAAAATAATAAATGATTTAGTAAAGTGAAGTAAAGAAAGTTTAAATGCCTATAAAGAGATATTCTAGGGCCTCCCCTGGTGGCGCAAGGGGTTGAGCGCCATACTGTGAAGCTGTCCGCAGCCTCTGCAGCACTCCAGCCTCTCAATCCAGGCGGGCTGGTGAGGGTCCCACATGGAGCAGCAGACCTCTCCTCTCTCACCCGCTGCTCCCCTCAGCAGTGTATTTCATCAGTCTGCCTGTTCTGTTCCCTGCTCTGTCTCTGGTGAATCCTCTCACCCTCCCATGCATTTGGCCTGTACCCCGTTCTTGTATAAAATAAATAAATCTTGAAAAAAAATTAGTGGTTCTAGTGAGACAAGCACTCCCCACTGGGGAAGCTAGAAAATCCAGCTTAAATTAAGAGACCTGGTTATCTTGCAACTGGGCAAGGCTGAGTGCTCAAAACAGGAAGTTATTTGAAAATCATTGTCACTGGAGGTTCAACTCTAGCACACCCTGATAACTGCCCTCTTCCTCAACTTATGGCGGAAAATATGTTCTCTAGAAAATTTGGATCACGGAGTCTTGAAATATGGAATATTAAACACAGGGAAGAATGAAGAGAAGTGCTGAATTGAAAAGAGGAACATTATAAAAGTTTGTATTCTAAATGATAAGACTTTCCACTCCAGGTTCCTTCCCTTTAAAAGTACCTAGAATTCTGGTTGTCACCTTTCATACTTCAGAAGGGTTATATAGGATCTTTCCCTAGAAATCTTGACCTTTCCCATAGGACAGACCAGTGATACTTACATTTTGGTGTTTTCAGCAAAAAAGTTAATTGGTCACCGGATCATTCTAGAATAAAGTCATTCAGCATACAAGATTTATTTCTTCAACCCTCAGTCCCACAGATAAATAGATAGAGGATCTAATTGGTTACATAGTGATGACTAAACAAGACTCACTGGACATTTTAGGAATGTCTTCAGCATGGAAAAGAAGAACAGAAACAAATGTATTGAAAGAACTGTGGAGATAGAGATTGAACAAGGCCCTGAAGAAAATTCAAAAACAATGTAACTAATTTGGGAAATAAGAGTATATATGCAGAATCCCTTCTTTAAAGGAACAGTAAAGAGATCTTGGAATCTAAATCTGTGATACATGATAGTGAAGATGATGATGATTAAGTAAGAGTTTGGATAATACTATTAGAGAAATTACAAAGAGGGTATATAGAGGAAGGACAAATAGATAAGCAACAGCGTTTGAAAGACTAAATTAAAGAGTTAATTCCAAAGGTGCAAACTTCAGCTAACATTAACTCCATGCAGAGAGAAAAGAGAACAAGTTGAGAACACATTGTCAAAATAAATAATACAACAAAATTTCTCAGAATTGAAGGGTCTACATCTCCTAATTAAGTGGGCCCACAGAGGGTCAATAAGTTCAAGTAAAAATGGTATCTTAACAAAATAAAACTATGATGAAATTTTAGAATACTTGAGTAAAAAAATGATTGTAAAACTTAGAGGGAGGAAAAAATGAGTTAGAAACAAGGGATGGTGAACATAGCAATTGTCTGAATCTTGGATGTAATACCATTTTTAAAAACGATTTATTTATTTATATGTAGAAGAACTGGGATGTAAGCCAGAGGTGAGGGTGTGTGTGTGGGGGAGGGGTGTGAGGGGATTAACCAGAGACAGAGCGGGGAGCAAAACAGGTAGATTTACTCAAATACCCTGCTAAGGGGAACAGCGGGTAATGCAGGAGAGGTCTGCTGCAGTATGCATGGGTTAGCTCCCTGGCTGGGGATGGAACTTAGACTGTGGTGGTGATAGCACTGAGAAAAACCCCTACACCACCAGGGAGCCCCCCTAGTACCATTCTTTAATAAAAATCAACCAGAACTCATTCTCTAATACAAATCATCAAGGACTTCTTTGAGAAATGGCTGAGTCTAGGACTGGGGCAGAAAATATACAAGAAGAATTTGAAGGATCTTATAGTGCCAGAAAGTAAAGAAGTGCTAAAAAAAAATCCTTCACAATAATGAGTATATGTCACAGGAAAGGGATATGGGAGCCAATTAAAAAAGGAATTAATGACCAAAGTTGGAGCAATTTGAGCACCAAAATAGTGTTGTCATAAAATATCCATGAATTCACATTGTTATAAATAAATAAATTAATTAATGTGGAAGAAGGGACAAATCTTCCATGGAAAAGAATTCTAAATAATTATGTAGATATTCAATACTAATGAAGAGGGAGCTTAACTCCTCACTCCTCTACTGCCCACTGAGCGTCAATACTTCCTCCCAAGGTGCATAGTAAGGAAATAGGGAAAAGACTGACCTTACAGTGTAGAAATCTCACAAACACTACCTCATCCTGGTGCTCAAGGTCATTATCAACAGTTATACTAAATCATGGTCATAGCATGATTTGATGCTATCATCAAACTTTGACATGACTTGATGAAAATGACACCTTACTTCTATGATCTTCTTCCCCAAATCCATAACCTCAGACTAAAAGAAAAATATCTGACAAATTCCAATAAAGGAACAATTTGAAATATACCTGATCAGTACTCCTCAAAATTGTTAAAGGATCAAAATAGATAAAGTCTAAGAAACTGTCAGGTCCAAAAGGAGCCTAAGGATGTGACAACTATATGTTAATGTGGTAAGTGGGATGGGATTCAAGAATAGGAAAAAAAGGTATTAAGTTCAAAAGTAAAGAAATCTGAAATAACTATGAACTTTTAACGATGTGTCAATACTGGCTCATTAATTGTAACAAATATACTGTACTAAGGTAAGATGTTAATAATGGGGAAAACTATTGGGGGAGATGTTAATAGGGGAACTCCATATAATATCTCTCAAATTTTTAAAAATAAATCAAAACTGCTTAAAAGTGGAGTCTACTATTTGAGATAAAAATATGAGAAACAGGTTATTGCCATAGTGTCAAAAAAATCTAGTTACAAAATAGGTATTAGTTACAAGGGGAAAACAGCAACTATACAGCAAGGTATCTTGGCAGAGGCCAATATAAGGAAATGATCATCGTTAACATGCAGGCATCATACTCCTTCTGATATAATGTACTGATTCGTATTGATGCATCAATACCAGTTCTGTGCTATTTGTCAAATAGGCATAAATTCAATTTAATGAGGAGAACACATAAGACAAACCCGAATTGAGGGATGTTGCATGAAATAACTTGTCAGTACTCTGCAAAGGTGTCAAAGTCATTAAAGGCAAAGAAAGACCAAGGGACGGTTATACAGTATAAGAAACTAAAGAGACATGACAAGGGCATATAATGTGGAATTCTGTACTAGATTCTGAAGCAGAAAAATGACACTGTTGGGGAAACCAGTAAAATTCTAATAAAGCCTATAGATTTAAAACAATAACAACAAGGGAGTGAGCTATAAAAGGATGTAGGATTTCTCAATAGCCATTATTGGAATCCAGAAGGTGATGGGGTGTTACATTCAAATTTCTAGAAAAAAAATCTCTGATTTAGTTTTCTACATGTAGTCCAGTCATCAGTCAATATAAGAGAATATAAATAGTTTTCAGACATGGAGGTTCTCAAAAATTTATTTTCCATGCACTTTTCATCTTCTATGCATTCTTACTTAAGAAGTTATTGGAAAAAGTGAGCTATCCAAGAGGGGAGCAATACAAAAATGTTTCTGGCATTCAATAAAAAGGATTTCAACACATGCAAAATGCAAAGAGGCACTTCCTAATGATGTAAATGAATGTATCAGAATGTAAAGTGCATAGCAGGCCGCATGAACACCCAGTCTAGACTGAAGGTAGAGGTACAATATGGTATTTTACAGAAATTTTGAAGCATAAGAGACTACTTAGTCCACAGTTAAAAATAAAGAAATTTTAAAATTTATTTAAGTATTAACCCTACGAAAACCTAACCCACTCATGTAAGGATATATAATTGCAGTACTATCTTTGACTTAGCAGAATCATGTTATGAAAGCAACCAGTGTGGGTTTTACCAAGGTTATAGACTCACATTGGAAGGATGCTTGTATGGAGAGGAGAGTGAAAGAGAGGGCAATGCTCATTTTACATAGTAGATTTGTGATAGATGATATCTAAAATTGATTAATCAAAACAGAGTAGTAGCCACACATCCTTTTAAGTTCAGTAGAAGATATATAAAACAATTAAAATGGGGCCTCCCTGGTGGCACAAGGGGTTAAGACACAACCTATGAGGTTCTCCGCAGCCACTGCAGCATGAGTTCGATCCCCAGCCAGGGAGAAACCCACATGGTACGGCAGACCTCTCCTGTCTTGCCCGCTGCTTCCCTCAGCAGTGTATTTCAGTCAGTCTGTTCAGTTCCCTGCTCTATCTCTGGTGAATCCTCTCACCCTCCTTCACCTGTGGCCTGTGCCCCAGTTCTTATATGCATAAATAAATAAATATTATTAAAAAAAATAAAATGATTTATAAAGAGTTGTCTATTGGGAAGAATAGTCAAGAAGATGGGAATTTCAATTAGTATCTTAGGACAATGCAAGTTTTTAAACTATTTTTGTTTCACCTTAGTAAATCATAAAAATAAATTGAAAGTAAAATTAATACATAATTTCCCAAGAAGTTATTATACCAACATAAAAATGTAAAAAATGTACAAACTTTATCCCTGATTTCTGCTTTATCTCTTTACTGTGCCTCAAGAAAAAGCAGACTCGGAATGACAGATTTCTCAAAACAAGATATGACTTTCCAAAGAGATGGTATCCCTACCAAAAATGAGAGGAATTTCCAGAAAACTACCAAATCTTAAATTGGGTTTTCCTTTGTTAAGTAAATACTGCATTCATGACCATAGGCTGAGAAATTCACTTCCACATCCTTCTAAACTCTACCCTCACATTCACTGATGCCTACCTGTAGACTCCATCTTGTAACTTCCTCCCTGTTGGCAATTCTCTCTCAAAAGCAATTGTATCCCTTGTAGATATAAAATGTAACTGTCTCTCAGGAGCCCACCCATCACTGGTTTCAATATTGCAGCTGATAAAGGTAAAAAGTCTTAAATGAACCACATCAGTTTGGAATGAATCAATTGATGAAAGTTGATAGCCTGCCAACACTGTCTCAGCTTGTACAACAAACATCAGCCAAGGTAAATAGTTGATCACTTAAATTCAGTATTCTGAAATGTTTATAAATGGTGAAGAAATCAATTTTTTTTCAGCTTGCTATATAAAACAGAAAGAAATAGCTATTGTTTTATCATGAATCAGCTTCTTCTCCAACAGCATCTCAAGTTATTTTGCTTCTTGACTTATTTTCCCTTTAACTATTTACCTTCATTTTAAAAATCTTTGGGGAACCCTTTACTGCCTCCTACCAGACAGAGTTGCTACCCCTGGCATGGACTTTCATTGTAATGAAGTTACTTATTGTAAGTTACTTATTGTAATGAAGTTACTAACTATGTCATCATTTGTTCAATTTATATTTTCTTCCCAGTCTGATAACATATTATTCTTACCAGTAATGTCTCAGTATAAACTACGGTGATAAGAATTGCTGCATATGTTTATCTGTAAAACAAATAATAATGTATATAAATCTAAAGTCATTGGCATGATTAAATGATGCAATACATATAAAACTCTGATATAGCAATAACTTAATAAATATTTTATTGTTATTGGACTCTTTATTACAGATTATTAAGAAATAATGATAACAAAAGCAGAACAGTAATGCAATTCCAAAATTTACTTTAAAGTAAAATAAAGAAGGGTCAAAGGAAATAGGTTCACACTATAATTAGACAGGTTCCTAGGAACCGTGACTACTTAAGGTAAAGTATAATGAAGATTTTGGACATGCTGGAGAAAGGCAGATAATAAATTATGCATGATGAGTAAGAAAGGAAAGTAAGATTCCTAAATGACTAAGTGTATTAAAATTATTAAAGTTATACTGTACTAAGTCTTTCTTTGCATAGTTCTGATCTTACTACAAGTAAACATATATAAAAATATTGAAACAGAGAACTGAGCATAAACAACTTATATTTAGTGCTTAATTATATTTGTTGATAAACTGGTTTGTAATTGGTATTTTTAGATATTTCCTACAAAATATAAAATATTGTTAAAGGAAACTATTTCTACATAGAGGACACGAATAGCAAAAATACCTGGAGAAAGTCTGGGTCAAACTAAGAAAATTGAAACTTAAATTGTATTGTAGGACTTCTTAATTTGATCATTCAAGACTTTCTCTCTCCATCTATACAGCTTTTCTTTCCCATGATGCCCAAAATTGATGCTTTTGTACTTTTTGCTAAGATTTACTTTTCCAATCTCTTCCTATTTTTTTTCTTACCTGCTTCCTCTGGGCCTTTGTTTACTCAGTTTTCACCTTTTTATCTTCAAATTCTCCCATCAATTAATCCATAGACATGCTATATACTTTTGATATGGAAAAAAGACACAAATACACAAACTTTGAAAGTTTTACACTTAGCTTCATAAGATTCATGAACTACGCTGAATCTCATTTATTAACATTAAGGTATATTGATGATCTGTTGGGCTACCATTTTGCTACTTTCTGTATTGAACAACTTATACTTGGTATATTTGCTTCCTTGCTATGCATTCTTTAGGGAATTTGGTTTTAGATTCTTTATCTTCTACTCAAATACACTTGCCAGAGTCAACAATGTGACAATGTTATATGAATAAAATACTTTGCAGAGGCACACAGTTAGTGTTTGGTGTCTTTATAAGATGCCTTTCTTCAGTTTATATTCTCACAAATATTTGCACTACAAAAGTTAAAAGAACTAATGTTTCAAAACTGATATTATGTATTATCATGTCTTATAATTGAATAATTTTATTTGTAACCATTATTATCCTTCTTTGGAAAATCATGATGTTATATTAAGATCTGAGAAGTTGGGAGGCACTGTATAAATTTATGGGAAAAAAAAGTCCCTAAACTGACAGAATCAATTTCCATCTACCTAACAACTCTATTGTAATATTTCCTTCTTGAAACTATTTCTTTGTGTTTGCTGACACCATACATTCTGATTCAATTTCTCTGATGTGTCATCTCAAGAGATCTGATTTTATTCCAGTTCTTTCTCTAGTCCAGTGTTACCCAAGAGAACTGTCTACAATGATGAAAATATTCCAAATCTGCTTATCTACTTCAATAGTCATTAGTCTGTTCATTAGTAGCATTTGAAACATGGCTAGTGAAATTGAGGAACTACATTATACATTTTATTTTATTTTATTGTAATTGAATTAAATTCAAATAGTGATGTGTGACTACTGGTTACCATACCTGACAGTGTGATCTTAGAGAAGACATTTTTCTTCCCAGTTGCTTCATCTGCAAAAATCTAGGGGTGAAAATAGTTGTTCTTTTTTTCTGTTGTTAAGATAAAATTGGTTAACTTTATTGTCGGTATTTTAGAAGTATAGGTCCCCACTTCAGATATTGCTACCATAGTGTATCTACCATTAAATCACCGCAGTCCACACCATGGTCCATTGTTCTCCCCTCTCCTCCACCACCTCCTTCTCTGGATGCTTCAAGAACATTTGCTTTTAATGATTCTTTTTCCCTCTAGCTCTAAATTTTGATTTGGTTCCTTCATTTGAAGAATAAAATTATTTCTTAAAAACATAAACTGTAAAGATTTTCCCCTTTCTGATTTGAAGCAATGTGAATACTGAAAAGAATTAGCACTCAATTAGTTATTGGCATTAATTCAAAGAGCATTTGTACAAAGGAAGTGGAGCATTACCCATGAAATTATAGTTTAAGCACTTAAATTATTTTTAACTTAAGAGGTAAGTTCACAGTGATAAATGCCTACTTCAAGAAACAAGAAAAATCTCAAATAAACAACCCAACTTTATACCTAAAGGAATTAAAAAGAACAACTGAAGCCAAAAGTCTGTAAGAGGCAATAGCAAAGATCAAATTTTTTTGGAAATGAAATGAAATAGATACTAAAAAGAAAACAGAATCTCTTTCTTTCTCAACATTTCCCAAAAATAGAAGAGGAGAAAACTGTTCAAAATTAATTTTGCCCAGTCAAGATTACCTTGACACCAAAACCAGACAAGGAAACCACAAGAAAAGAACATTACTGGTCAATATCCCTGAATAGCATAGATGAAAAATCCTCAGCAAAATGTATGCAGACTGAATTCAGGACTTATTCCAGGGGTGTAATAATGGTTCAGCATCTGCAGAGCAATCAATATGCTATAAAACATTAACAAATGAAGGATAAAAATCATAAGATCATCTCAATAGATGCAGAAAAGGCACTTAACAAAATTCAACCTCCATTTATGATAAAAATGCAACAAAATGAATATAGAGGAAATGCACTTCAATGTAACAAAATGACAAGCCCACCACTAACATTTGCTCAATGGCAAAAAAAGCTCTGAAATCAGGAACAAGAAAAGGAAGCCTATTCTGGTCAGTTCAGTTCAACATAGTATCAGAAGTCCTAGTAAGAGCTATTAAGTAAGAAAAAGAAATCTAAAAATTCACATCAGAAAGTAAGAAGTAAACTTATCACTATTAATAGATGATATGCTATATATAGAAAATTCTAAGGAATTTGCCAAAAAATCTTTTAGAGTCAATAAATTCACTAAAGTTTCAGGAAACAAAATCAAAACACAAAATCTATTGCATTTCTATGCACTGATACTCTCAGAAAGAAAATTTAAGAAATCATTCTATCTACAATTAAATCAAAAACAACAAAATGCCTAGGAATAAGTTTAAACAAGGAAGTGAAAAACCTACACATTGACAATTAGAAGACATTGATGAAAGAAATTTAAGAAGACACAAATAATACAAACCTTATCAACATACCAACAGCATTTTTCATAGTAGAACAAGAATTTCTAAAATTTGTATGGAGCCACAAGAACCCAAATAAACAAACCACTCTTAAGAAAGAACAATAAATCTGGAGGCATTACATTTCCTGATTTTAAACTATAGTTTCATAGTTTACAATAAGATTCCTTTATATATAGTTTACTATAATACAGATTACTATAAACAATAGTAATCAAAACAATGTAATATTGACATAAAACCAGACACACTGGTTAACAGAACAGAATAGAAACCATAGAAAAAAATCATACATGGTCAATTAATTTATGACAAAGGAGCCCAAAATACACAATTTGGGAAGGATGGTTTCTTCAATAAGTTTTATCAGAAAACTGAACTATCACATGTAACAAAATGAAAGTACATCACTATCTTACTTACAAAAAAAATTAACTAAAAATGGATTAAAGACTTAAAGGTAAGACCTGAAATCATAAGACTCCTAAAAGAAAACAAAAGTGATAAACTATTTTATTTTGTATATTTTTTACATAATTTTTCATTTTTGCACAATGTATGCATTTTCATCTTGGTTATATTCCCCATACAATTCCCACCCCCCTTATTTTGATAAAGGACTAATCCCTCCTCCCCGCCTCCCCTCCATCCCCCCATCCCCCAGGTAGTGTGTCTCTGGTTTATAGTTGCTTTTTGATTTTGATTTTTACTTTATTATAATTAGGTTTTTTCCTGGTCCCTCATTTAGGTTTTCTAAATTCCTGCTATCAGTGAGACCATCTGGTATTTTTCTTTTTCTTTCTGGCTTATTCGCTGAGCATGATCCCTTCCAGCTCCATCCATGTTGCTGCAAATTGTATGAGTTTATCTTTTGAAAGCTGAGTAATATTCCATTGTGTATATGTACCACATCTTCTTGATCCAGTCATCTATTTTTGGGCATTTGGGTTGTTTCCATAGCTTAGCTATTGTCAATAGGTGCTGCTATAAGCATAGGGGTGCAGGTGCTCTTTTGAATTAATGATTCTGTGTCCTTTGGGTAAACACCTAGGAATGGAATTGCTGGATCATATGGAAGCTCCATCTTTAGCAGATTGAGAAATTTCCACACCGCTTTCCATAGTGGTTGGACCAGTTTGCACTCCCATCAGCAATGCAGGAGAGTTCCTTCTCCACATCCTCACCAACATTTGTTGTAGCTAGATTTTTAAATATGTGCCATTCTCACTGGTGTAAGATGGTATCTCATTGTAGTTTTGATTTTCATTTCCCTGATTACAAGTGATGCTGAACATTTTTTCATAAGCCTATTTTCCATTTGCATTTCCTCTTTGGAGGAGTTCCTTTTTAGCTCTTTTGCCCATTTTTTGACTGGATTATTTACTTTGTTTTTGTTGAGTCTCTTCAGCTCTTTGTAGATTTTTGTGATCAGTCCTTTATCATTAGTGTTGTGTGCAAAAATTTTCTCCCAGTCGGTGGGGTGTCTTCTGATCATTGATTATTTTTCCCTTATCATTGTTTTCCTTTATGACTTCTTTCAGTTTTTTTTTTTTTTTTGGCCAGGATTTTTTTTTTTTTATAGAGGCATGTTTTATTTTATTTATTTATGTGTTTGTTTGTTTGTTTTGTCCATACATGCACTGGGCACAGTCAGAAGCGCGGGAGGGCGAGAGAATTC